GCACACGCGAGACACTTTGTGTAACGGTTGGGTGAGAACTGAATTTTTCGCAAGTTACACCGAGGGGCTACTCGATCTTCCCACATGAATGTAAATGATTTTCCATGCCTGGAAGTAATACGCATCCCTCAGATCATTGAATACCAGTGGCCAGTCTTGTAAGCCGTCACCGTAGTCGATACAATTTCTGTGATAATCGACTGCCTTTGCTTCCGACACTTGCAAAACAAGCTATCTAATTACAGTACTAAACTAAAATGTCATATGACAGGCTCTGTCATACGACACTGTCGCCGAAGACCATTGCGAATGTATGTATTTAAATTTGTCTCATAATAAGAGCTGCTGACGTTGTGTTTGTGCGAATTCTGATAATAGCAAGTAACGATGTCCTAGTAATAACGTTTCTGATCAGAAATGGTTTAATTTACACCAAATTGAGGAATTAGAACGAAAGCAGACATGTCATATGATAGTAATTTGATAATTTTCTTTTTGCTCGAACCCTGCCAGTGGCTGCTGTTTCTGAGCATCACTTACTTTTTACAGTTCTCCTTGGCCTCCGGGGTCGTCACGTCCATTTTCACTACTTCTTCATCAAGCACCTCTTCCACTGATACCTTGTCGTTGTTGTCTAACGATGACTCTTTGTCCTGTTTTGAATTGATTTTTCTGGCTGCTTCCAGACCTTCTGCTTGGGGCAGGAATTCGGTGCCCCTACATCTTACACAAGAATCACATATATTTGTTCCCTTCATAGAATGTATTCCCCTTCTTTTTGAGGAAATGCAGCTAATTGGGAATTTCGATTTTCACGTCCAGGTATAGACCGTACACACATGTATTGATGTTGAGACCCAACTCCTCAGGAAAATTATCTACCTCAACTGCCTTTCCATCAGTATAATGATTATGAAGATACCCCCATACAAAGGTTTGAGCTGGACGATTTATCTTTAAAACAATTAAGTATGACATCTTAATCAGATTAGCAAACAAAATCGAACTGTTTGCAGTTACAGACATAAATTTTCTCTACAGTTTACAGTTGCTTCACAGCCATATAAATGTGAAAAAACGTAGGCGTTCACCTTCTTGTTCACCTTTTCGTCCACCTCAAATATTTACAAGTATTTCCAGCGATCAAGGGTTCATGAATAATCAACAAAGCATCCTTTTACACTAGCAATCCCAAGTAATCTGACGGTATCATAAATTTCAAGAAACCTTCAACATTCAGCCAGAAAACTTACTACTAATTCAAGGCTTCTTTCAAATAAGCTTTAAAGTTCCATTTGATTTCATCAATTGTTAAATTCAGTCATCTACATCCATAATACGCTCGTGAGGCTCAAACTTTTGTAGACTACTCAAAATTACTTTTTGTTATTAACTACTACTATTTAATCAAATATCTCAAATCCATCATCACCATCGTGACGATCTGACTTGATCTTTATTAAAATTTGCTTTATCCTCTGTAATCCGGTAAGTTGCTTCCATCTAGACGGGATTAGCATCCAGTGCTTTCACGGCAATTGGAAATTTCCTCCCTTGTGTGTTTCGCACTTTCATTGGCGAACCAGAATTTTATAGTATGCTTTATTTACACGGAAATCACCAGTTGTTTATTTTCAACCGCGACGACAAAGTGTCCGAGCTGTAGGCAAAGAACAAATCGCACCGAAACAATAGTTGCAGACTATCGCGTGATTCACACCGAGTGGAACAACTGGGCTGTCCTTTAGCTAAAAATCATTCCAAATCTTTGCACAACTGGGAAGTAAAACATTTTCCAATGGAAGATGGCAACATTTTCAATAATATACGCATTAGTTTAAGTTGAGAAAAATCTTTATTTTCTAAATTGGTGGTGCAATAAAAAACCATAAATTGTATTGAATTCCACAGCGGCCAAGTGGAGCTGCCGAATGAAACGATTTTTAAAGCGATTAATATTGTATTTTGCATTTCTAAATGGACTTTTCAAAAGTGCGGAATCGCTAATAAAAGTGTGCTTTTGCGTTGTATTGTATTATTTCCTTTTGCGCACTTTTTCGTTATGAACCAAGGAATAAGTATGACGAAAATATCAAAATGATTTAACGTTAAAGCAAGCGCTTCGGCACTTATAACCGTACTTGTAATGTGCGCAATGCAGATTTAGTTGTAAAAGCTCTGCATTGAAAAAGTGTTTGCATAGTTTCTATATATTTAGTATTTTCCCAATGATTTTTATCTGAATATCATATAATATAAATAAATTCTATGTGGGTAATCATATCGATTTCATTGGACACATAAGGTTTATGTGATTTTTCGGTTAAATTTCCAATTATGAGTTCACATGAAAGTTATGTAGAATGGATATTTTCCATTGATTATGTGATTTATTTTATGAGTGTGGAGTTATGTTGGAAATTTTAATGACTTAAAATAATCTGTGCATACCCCAATTTATACCCAATCAATTCACTCATAGTAATTAAACAAAGAGCAGTACGTTTACGCTGCCGTCACGATTCACTTTACATATGCCTCAAATAGAGTGGAACTAAGATGTCAACAAGTCACTACTTACGCCCAACCACTAAGCGCTAAAAATAACCACCCGGGTGAATCATGAATAGCAACCAAATTACTCTACTTAAAATAAGGCAACTATCACGTGGATTTCATTATTAGTCACGTTTAAAAAAAACTCTCCATTACATCTCCACGACGTTTCTCAACTTGGTAATTAACTAACTTTCCCAATCTCAAGTGCATCCTTCGGGGGGAAATTCGAACTGATTACTCCTCACTGCCATTGCATTTCCAGTCGGAGCAAGAGCTTCATGTTGCCATTCCAATTCCAAATCAAAACCGGAAGCAGCCTCTCACGATCAAGAACAGGTGGATGCGGGTTTGCTGCGTTCGTTATCACTCTGTAAACGCGTAACTGGAGTATCTTTTCAGATTGATTCGCAAACACAATTCGAGCTGTCAATGTTCGCGGTGTCACTATCATTGCATCGTTGATTAACCTTCTCGCATCTCACTCACATGTGCTCTGAAACAACATTACCGTTTACCTAGAGATAAAAACGGAATGGAAAAAGGTTTGCCGTCGCCAAGGGGTCAAGCTTGTGCCATGAAGAGCGCAAATACGTTGAAGCATCTGCATCGATTTTAGCACTTGGCAGTAGCCGAACAAGGACAAGTAACTAGAATCACAGACTCAGATGGGAATGGGTCCCCAACAACTTTGGCAAATTTGAACGAATTTGGTTGCAATTTGGAATCGTGGGAGAATTTTAAAATCAACATGGGAAATTGTATGAGAAACGAAGAATAAAATACACACGTTGCTCAACTTTGCCTTAGATAATGCAAACTACACAGAACAACATAGTCGAATACCACAAATCGATTCAACTTCTGTGCAAAAAGTTGTTAAGGCTTAGGTCGGTACGACTGATATTTGCCTGGCAAACGTACATTCTATTCTCCTTGAATCCGTTCCTTTCCTTCCTCATGAAATTCGCTGAACAGCAATCAAGAAAACAATATCACATTTACTGCCCAAAACAAAACAACATGCACTTGAAGCATACTCAAAAGCAAACTACACGGCCGGAGAACCTGACGCGAAATCAGTATACTCAGTTTCGCTAAAACCGCGGTTACTCATAGACTGATTGATTGATTGATTTATCTTTATTTAGGAGGCTTTCAGCCTGAGGCTGGTTCGCCTCCAAACTCATAGGCTGAGTTAACAAATATGAGTGATATTTACACAAATTCAAGCATATTTTTACTCAACCTCTGAATAACCGTGCTTTTTGCAAAAGAAAGTAAACGGATGTTCTAGCATTTAGGGGCTGTCCATTTACCACGTGGACAGTTTAGGCAGGGCGGTGGGGACAGCGAACGTCGGCGGACCATACAAATTTTCAAATATTCAAGATCTCGAAGTTTATGGGAAACATAATCAAATTTTAAGTTGCTTATCAAAAATTTACACATTGCTCAATTTTGCCAATACCCGGAACATAGATTGAGCAACTATGCAGAATAGCTGAATAGGGTGGACAAGCCAACCACCCGGGTGAGCACTTTTTATTAAATTTTCTAACCAAAGAACTCCATATCAGTGCTCTACATTTTCGAAGCTCTATAATGAACTGGAGTTTTTTTACTTTCATACAACGTGTTTAACGCATCATTTCTATAACGCCTAGCTAGACTATCAGCACGAAACGAAAATGAAAAAGAAGCATGCTTAGAACGAAAGGCTGGCTGTGGATCTTTTCGTCGTTGCTTTGCTCATCGCTTTCAATGAAAGTAACGTCGATTTTATAGTTAAACGAAACCTCATTATGGCTTTCAATCCCTTTCAGTGACACTCTGTCGCCGCTCTTTTAATTTGTTTAATATGCGTTATGTCCCGTTTTTTCTACTTTTTCAAAGATAATTATGTGGATGGAAGATAAATTAAACATATTACAAGTAAGTGTTTCTTCTGGGAAATGATCTTAAAATATATTTTCATTTTTCGTCATATAGGTCATGAAACCTCTGTTGATGTGTTTCATGAAAGACGAAACTATCAAAGTCGAGTGCTCTTTGACTCGTCCACTTCACCTAAGCTTTTCATCATTGATATATATATCTAAGCTTAAAATCATTGATATATATAACTAAGTGTGTTTACATTGTTCCTGCCTTGGCAATTCAGTATTTTAAACAGGTTTTCTATGCCTTCATGACTGTATAACAATTGACATCTTAAAACTAAAAACTAAAACTAAATCTTATCTAAGTATAAAGAGAATTAATCGCTGCAATTGAGGATTGCTACGATTTTTGCCTGAAATTATTAATTACTTTGATGGACATTTTTTTCCAAAGTCTCAACATTGGAAATTCTGTGTACAGGGTGCGGCAGGAAAAAAAAACGAAAATTTATGATATTTCTTTCAAATCCCATTTTCAACTACTTTAAGCAATAATAGCAATTTCGAGTTCAGTTATCTTTATTAGGTCCTTTCAAATAAACTTACTCGATGTGTCCTCCATTTTTACCAATGCCATCTTCAAGACGACGCCGGAAGCTAGAACACGCCTTTCGAACGTAGTCCTCCGATATCGACTGCCATGACTATATGACAGACTTCAGGGTCTTCACACTAGGGGGAGATGTTTTGCAGGCTTGTGCGTCAACATACCTCCCTCGGGGCCTCCCTTAGCTCAGTCGGTAAAGGCGCAACTACAAAGCAAGACCATGCTGGAGGTGGCTGGGTTCAATTCCCGGTCCAGTCTAGGAATTTTTCGGGTTGGAAAATTTCTCGACTTCCCTGGGCATAGAAGTATGATTGGACTTGTCACACAATTATACCAATGCAAAAATGGTACATCGATGCCATCGAAGCTCTCAATTAATAACTGTGGAAGTGCATCTAGAACACTAAGTTGAGAGCACGCAATATATAAGCTAATATGCGATATGTAATAAGCTTGAAATGCGAAGAAGAAGAAGAAGCGTCAACATACGCTCAAATCGAATAATCCAACGGGTTAAGGTCCGGACTGCTAGGGGGCCACACATCTTTCTTTTTCTTTGGTTCCGATTTGACGTGTGACATGGCGCTCCATCCTGTTGTAGGACAACTTATTGATCCTCAGAGAAGTTTTCCTTCACCGAGGGAAGCACTTGGTCCTTCAAAATACCGATATACACTTCGGTATTGATTTTAACACCAGCATAAATGAAAACAGGCGGCATTTTCAAACCGTTGGACGCCACCAAGTCAAACATCAGCGTTAGCGTTGTTATGATATACCTTGTAGATTGGATATTAGCGACACTCACGTCTCTTCTGAAATTCTCAGTTAGAATACTTTCAGGAATAATGCTGAAGAGTAAACATTGGTTCCAATCTAAACAAGAGTAACAGAAGCATGACTGTCGCTATTCCCGGCCACGCCCATCTTTACCATAACTAGGGATGGGGAAGGAAATTTTGATGTAGTACTTACTTAACGAGAGGCCACCGACTTAGCGACACCCTCATAAGTGCTACGGAGTTGGAGGGTTGGGAAGGGTATTCGGTTAGGATTCACCTCAAGTTGGCGATGCAACCAAAAGTATGTATTGTTTATTTGTTGTTTATTTAATCTCTCGATAGCCGGCTATCGAAAGATCATATTCATTTTGTTTAGTGATCATGAATTTTAAGAGTCATGACGGAGAGCTTGGGATTAAACTCATGATTTTCTGCTCAGTAAGCAAACACGATCCCTCCAGGGTCATCGAGCATCTCAGAACCATAACACTTCGCGACAAAACACGACTACGTTTTCGCTTGATATGCAAATAGTTTCCGAGGTTAATGTTCAATATCAAATATACAAATGATGGTGGCGATTTATTATGCTGTGGAAGAGCTTGGGGTTAAATCCATGATTTTCTGCTCAGTAAGCAAAATCGATCCCTCCAAAGTTATCGAGCATCTTATAATCCACAGCGCTTCGCGTCAAAGTACGAATATACGGATGAACTATTTATTATTTAATAACTATTATTTACGATAATTACATGAAAGAAATAAAATATAAACTACAAACAAAACGTGACTACTAAAATATCAAAAAGATATTCTCACAAATATATTTCACGCAACCAGAAATCTCATTAAACCATTAGACTGCAGAGTATCATCTGCACATGTTAGACACAAGAAAAGGCCAAAAAGCGTCCTCAACTTTTTTTTGATGCGATAAACTGTGGCCAAATGACATCCTACCACCTTGGCAATCTCCTTCAGTGTCTTCTGGGCAAGCAACAAACTCGTTATCACTTCTTTGGCGTACATTTTCGTTCTGATGTAGCCCTTTAAAGTAAATATAAACAAACACACTGTCAACAGAACTAAGTAATTAGTTACACACATTAGCCCGATATCACACGAGTGGAACTTTGGATCAGAAAGTGGCTCTACTTGTCATTTGCGAACACTAGCGCACCTAGCGGTAGAAGGCATCTTCTGCCTGCAGTTACGGTATGCAGCATGCTATGATAGTGTGAATGAACATAGAAAGCCCGTGTGGAACGCTACCACAACACATTGCTTGTTGAGCAGCAAAACGAACCACTTTTGATTCATGGATTTGTTTGCACTTCCCCTTGTGTTCTGTGCCGATATTAAAGGGTGATACGGTCAAAATTTGGTCAATATCAACTTGACGTATTTCTTTCAATTTTGCATTTAAAAAACCTGAACACCCCTCATTTTGAAGGTGTGTGTGTGTAGAATGTAGCTCCTATTTTGATTTTGGAATTCACTCTTCAATTGTCAAAATGCCGTCCAAGCAAGAAGAGCAGCGTATCAAAATTTTGCTCGCGCATCGCGAAAATCCGAGCTACTTGCACGCAAAGTTGGCAAAATCGCTAAAAGTTGCCAAATCAACCGTTACAAATGTAATTAAAGTGTTTGGGGAACGTTTGTCGACAGCCAGGAAGTCTGGATCGGGGGGAAATCGAAAACCGGAAGCCACTGAGACGACAAAGAGAGTTGCCGGTAGTTTCAAGCGAAACCCTAACCTCTCTCTCCGAGATGCCGCAAATAAGCTGGGTGTATCGTCTACAACCGTGCATCGAGCCAAAAAACGAGCCGGACTATCGACTTACAAGAAGGTAGTGACTCCAAATCGCGATGATAAACAAAATACGAAGGCCAAAGCGCGATCCCGGAGGCTGTACACGACGATGCTGACGAAGTTTGACTGCGTGGTAATGGACGACGAAACCTACGTCAAAGCCGACTACAAGCAGCTTCCGGGACAGGAGTTTTATACGGCAAAAGGAAGGGGAAAGGTAGCAGATGTTTTCAAGCACATGAAACTGTCAAAGTTCGCAAAGAAATATCTGGTTTGGCAAGCCATCTGTACCTGTGGCTTGAAAAGCAGCATTTTCATAGCTTCCGGGACTGTCAACCAAGAAATTTACGTGAAAGAGTGTTTGAATAAACGTCTGCTGCCTTTCCTGAAGAAACACGGTTGTTCCGTACTGTTTTGGCCGGATTTGGCATCTTGCCATTACGGTAAAAAGGCCATGGAGTGGTACGCCGCCAACAACGTGCAGGTGGTTCCCAAGGACAAGAACCCTCCCAACACGCCAGAGCTCCGCCCAATTGAGAAATACTGGGCTATTGTCAAGCGGAACCTAAAGAAGACCAAAAAAACTGCGAGCAGCAAGGCAAACTGGCTTTCTGCGGCGAAGAAGGTGGACAAGGTGGCTGTACAAAATCTGATGGCAGGGGTCAAGCGTAAGGCCCGGCAATTCGGATTTGGAAAAGCGGAAGCCTAACTGAATATTTTTCCTGAATTGTATACTAATTGAACTTGAAAAAGAAATTTAATTTGATTTTTTAAATAAACGATTTCACCGATTTACACGCGTTTTCCCTTGACCAAATTTTGACCGTATCACCCTTTATAGTTTAATCATTTTCGCATTTTTTTTCCCTGCCGCACCCTGTACCTCGGTAGTACTGTACCAAAGGGCAACTTCAAAATCATCTTCAGAATTTTGTTCTGAACGCTTTGAAGTACTAGCGGCACAGCGTTAAAGATGGCTGGTCTAAAAACTTGTTGAAATATTAGAAGTTTATTCTTCAGGCGAAGTTTGGATTTTCTGTTTATAAGAGGATACAAACATTTTATATAGGGGAAATGGCTCCAATGTTGGCCTATGGATATAAGATTGGGCCCATCGCTAAAACTCTGCTATTTATCAATTTCATCTAGATGAACGCTTCATTGGGACGGTACTAATGGATATTTTTGGTCGCTAATGATAGTTTAGTCGATTGCTGAATTTAGGTATGGGCCCCAAATAAGGGACCTTTAGGCCGACATTACATCAATTTCTCCTATTTGTTACATTCGGCTTGAATGCCCTTAATGTGATCTTTAAAAGTTAATTTTTGGTCAAGTACTAATCCAAGATATTTCGCTTGGCTTAACCAAGAAATTGGAACTCCGTTCATAGTGACTATGTGACTACTACAAGGATTCAAAAACGAAGCTCTAGGCTAAAGTGTAAATATTATTATTTGGGTTTTGGAAGCGTTTTCTGCAGTCTGCTGCAAATAACACGAAGACTTCTTCCTTTAGCGGAAATGCAATAAAGATTTGAGGCAAATCAGGGAGGTCCGAAGTGAAAATGTTATACAATATAGGCCCAAGAATGCTACCCTAAAAAAAACTCCTGCTCTAACAGGTAGTCGATCGGATTTGGAATTTTGATAATTTACCTGCAGAGTTCTGTCAGTTAAATAATTTTGAACTAATTTCATAATATAAAGTGGAAAATTAAACTTTTTCAATTTAGCAATCAAACCTTCATGCCAAACACTGTCGAATGCTTTTTCTATGTCTAGAAGAGCAACTCCAGTTGAGTGGCCTTCAGATTTGTTTGAACGAATTAAATTGGTAACTCTTAAGAGTTGATGAGTAGTTGAATGCCCATGGCAAAATCCAAACTGCTCATCTGCAAAAATTGAGTTCGTATTGATAAGAAGCATCATTCTATTTAAAATTATCTTTTCAAAAAGTTTACTTATTGAAGAAAGTAAATTTATTGGACCGTTGCTAGAAGCTTCAGCTGGATTTTTATCCGGCTTCAACTTTTGCATTTTTCCATTTATCTTGAAAGTATGCCAAATGGAAACAACTGTTAAATAATTGTACCAAGAAAGAAAAGGTACTTTCTGAAAAATTTTGATGAGGATATAGAAAATTCCATCATCACCTGGAGTTTGAATATTTTGAAACTTTGTCCAAATCAGTCCCCCAGAAATCATCAAAAATATTTTACGGAGAGAAAATATTCAGATAATCCCGAGCAACCTGATTCTGAATAGGACTAGTAAGACCCAAACTAAAATTATGGGAACTCTCGAATTGCATAGCAAGTTTCTGGGCTTTTTCCAAATTTGTGATCAAAATTTTATCATCTTCTTTAAGCGCTGGAATAGGCTTTTGAGGTTTTTCAAAATTTTTGTGAGTTTCTGAAAGAGTTTGCAACTCGGGTCTAATGTAGAAACATTATTTTTAAAAGTTTTGTTCTTCAGGGCAGAGAATCGCTTTTTAATTTGTTTTTGCAAATCCCGCCAGATAACTGTCATGGCAGGATCGCGTGTTCTTTGATATTGTCTCCTACGGACATTTTTTAGGACGGATCAAGAGCTGAAGATCGTCGTCCATTATAATTGAATCGAATTTAACCTCGCATGTTGGTACTGAGACAGCTCTTGCTTCAACTTTAGAAATAGTCAGAAATTCAAGAGCATAATTAATTTCATCTTTGGTTTGCAAAGGAATGTCAAAGCTATATTCCATAAATGTTCGATATTGCTCCCAATCAGCTCTATGGTAATTGAAAGTAGAGCTGTTGGGATTAGAAATTATTTCTTGGGATATTTCAAAAGTTATTGGAAGGTAATCAGAACCGAAGCCAGCATGGGTAACCAATTGACTACAAAGTTGACATGAATCAGTTAAGACCAAATCAATAGTTGAGGGATTTCTTGCTGAAGAAAAGCATTTGGGGCTGCTTGGATTTTGAATAGTGTAATAACCTGCAAAACAATCATTAAACAGAATATTACCATTGGAATTGATTTGAGCATTATTTCATGAGCGGTGTTTTGCATTAAAATTATCAATAATGAAGAATTTAGACCTATGACGCTTAAGTAAGTACATGCGTTGAATTTTCGTTCAAAATGCCAGATATATTTGTTCAAATGACTGCCCATTTTTGTTTTTGGTAAAAGAGACCAATATTAAACAATTTTTGGTAAATTTTGTGATCAATTTCATTTGAGGTTGTGGCCAATTTATGTTGATATCATTTTTAATTGTGACCATTTTCGATTAAATTGGTGAAAAATGGTGCTAACTATTGCTCTAGTTTTGACCCTAGGGCCTAACTCGAATTTGAAATAAAATTTCATGGTTTTGTTTGCGTAAATATATGGCAAAATGTATGCCCTATCCTTGCATCAAAATAAATGTTATAAAGCGTGAATAACAATGAAAATTAAAATAAGGCCAAAAGAGGACCACTAGGGCCAAAAATTGGCTCACATACCCTACTTATGCAAATTCTGAATATTTCAATAAAATATATAATAATAACAATAAAATCAGAAAAAGATATTTCTGATATGATCTCGAGAAACGAACCCGTTATTTGGCGTGATTTATGTTGAGTTGCCAAGGATGTATTATTTCAATTGTTGAATCTTATATAAATAAGTTAAAATGACTTGCGAATTCTAGTTTTAATTGTTCTGATAGAACAGTAAATTTGTATATGTGACTAGACAATGATCTTTCCATAAATTTATCAGCTGGAAACATTTTGAATCTTTTTGGTGGGTATGCAATCTGCCAAAATGTTCACAATGGAATGCCTACCATATGCATTATCAAGACGTTAAATTATGGTACAACTCTGGGTACAACTCCATGTCCACTTGAAACGTCAAACGCTAATAGGAAGAGGAGACAACTGGCTTTTACTCTTTTATCTCTATCTCTATCTCTGTCTATCTCTATCTGTATCTATCTCTATCTATATCGATCTCTATCTTTATTTTTCGCACTTCAAATCGGTCAATCGGTTCACGTTTGACAGAAAAGTCGTTCGTTTTTGCCTCCGCATTGTCTCCTCTTCCTCTTAGGTCAAACGTCTTTGCTTGGCAATCGTGAAATGCACACAAAACAAACAGGTTGCTATGTCATCGTGCATTGAATATTGAGCAACTCGAGTCACTCAGAGTTACTCAAAATTTACTCCAGTATGACTCATTATCAAAAGCTGTCTTACCCCTAGGACATTTATGTATATTATTTTATGCTTGTAAATTTGTTTTTTTTTTATCTGATCACCAAATAGCGCCAATAAACGAGATAATTTTAAAAGAAGTTGGGCTTGATAATAAAACAAAAATTGAATTGGTATGACTTTCCTAAATTTATTTAGGAATTTTGAATTAGTCTTGGAATATTTTAACACGTAGGGTAGGTGTTCCAGTAATAGTGGTGTACCTATAGTTTCGGTATGGAGGATTTGCCGGAATAGTGAGGAGGATCCGGATTAGATTTTTTTTCATCGGTAGCTCTCCTAAAATAAAGCATATTTGCATATTTCAAACTAAAAATATGCCCAAAAGTGACGGAAAATAATTAATTTTCGTTAAGATTTTCACTCCTTTGCACCTATAGTTGCGGTAGTGTTCCTATAATAGTAGAACCCATAAGAAACCAACGCATTCCACTATTATAGGAACCAAAGTTAGCAACTACCACAACTACTGGAACCGTGTTCCTATTAATGGAGGACGATCTTTCTAAAATTTTATGCAATTTTATTACAATGTAATATTTTTCCTTTAAAAATAGAGGTTAAAAACTATAGATTGACGTATAACAAGTGTGTGTACATCGTTTATTTATTTTTTAATTGATAAATTGGCTTAGTACCTCCACTACTGGCTCACCCACCCATTCTCATATTCCAAAATTCGTAAGATGGATTACAACATTACAGCAAATACATTTTTATTGTATTTTGAGTGAATCAAAGTTGGAGTCGGTCAATTTTGATCCGACTCCACAGACCTGCTTGTTCACAATGTAAGGGTGAAGCCGAACATGGAAATCACCGAACATTCAGGGCAAATCAAAAATGCCGTTACTCAGCTTACTATTTCGACGAACTTGTCACAAGCGGTAGAACAGCATATGAACAGGTGCGTGGGAGTTTTTGTAGGTGCTTTTTTTGAGATAAATTTTGTTTCGTCTTATTCTTTTAAGAATTGAGAACGAGCACTTTGAAACTTTCCATTCATAAAAAAAATCACCCCACATTGGCTGACAATGAAACATATTCAACATTGTAGTCAAGTGTTTGAACGTCACTTCTTTTTTAATGAAGAAATGTTCCATTGCAATATTTGATAAGTAGCACATAGATGATAACCAAATTGCAAATTGACCAGATTAGCCATACGTGTGTCACTTAACTATTTGTTTCCAAATATACATTGCTATTTTTCCAAACAATTTATTCCATCTATATATGGACCGTCCACAACAACCCAATCAAGCAAAGCAAACAATGCAAATATTTGCCTTCGGCAACAAGCCGCGTTCCGAACCAACGGAATAAAATTTGCAAATTTTCCACAACAACTCAATTTCACCTTCACGCACACACATCGTGTGCCCAAAAATTACAAACCGGTTCGTTCTCCTGCTAGTTCCGAGGTTTGTGCATGAGAAAATATAGCATGTGACTATGAGTTTTAAGTTGACGGTATATTGGATTCTGCCTTCTGCAATTACGAATATATGATGTTGCTTCATTGGCAATCTAGATGGTCAACAATATCATGCTAGCGAATCAATTTACGACAAATCTTTTACCATTTATTGCTGCTATCTACGCGCGCATCTCACGGCAGCAAATCAAAATCTTCCCGGCATATTTGCTAGAGTTCTCTCCATTGGACTTGGTCCTTAGCCTTGCGAGTGCTGCTGGCATTCGTATCAAGTTTAATGTGCGGATCTAAATTTTCATCAATGTTGCAAATGAAAAGGAAAGAGGTTACTACACTGGACGTCGAAAATGACATGCAGTGTGCTTTGTCTACCACAGCTTCAAAAATTAATATGGGGTTTCACATCGTAAGCTTAAAAACCTTTAAAAATGCGCAAACTTCAATACAATTAAATGGACTCTCGTATTTTTGATTAGCTCAGTCAGTAAAGGCACAACTCTAAAGCAAGGCCATGCTCGAGGCGGCTGGGTTCGATTCCCGGCCGAGTCAAGATATTTTTCGGGTTGAAAAATGGCTCGACTTCCCTGGACATACAGTATGATTGATTGTACTTGCCACACAATTATTCTAATTCAAAAATGGTACATGCTTAGAAAGCTCTCAATAAACAACACGTCCCACGTCATACGCCAAAGAAGAAGATGTAAACATGTAGTATAACGCGTGTTAGTCTAATTTGTGGTGGGGTGAGTAATGTTTGAAAAGAGGAGCATGGAACAAAAAAACTTGAAACCACTGTCCTAGTCGATCAATTCATCCGCACGGCGGGTGGAACGGTGGAGGCATGGATCTTTCCATCCAAAGTTCCCCTCATTTCAGCGTAACGCAACGCTCGCGGGAAAGTACCGATCGCTCACCGAGCTTCAATAGATGCCGCCGACGACGACGGCAAACTACGACGGACACGGCGAGGTGTAAATCATTATTTTCTTACCTACCACCCGGTGACAAGGGGAAGTGAGTAGGAGTCATGTTATGAAGGTAGCAAACCTCCTACGATGCGCAATGCTCTTGATGATGATTATGATAGCAAAGTGGGAGGAGGGCGTCGGGTGGACTTGATCCTGCCGTCGACATCGCTCTGAGCGGGAGAGTTCTACGAACTGAGAGTGAGTTACCGTTGCCTCAAAGAGTGAGAGGCGCTAAAGGGGTTGACATTTTTTTTAATGATTTGTGACGCTCTCGGGTCGCTGTCGCCATGCATTGCAGGGCTGATAAACAAAATAAAAACAGAGAGCGCCGAACATTATGGGGTTGTGTTGTGTTGTGGGGGTAAAGAGCGAGAGAGCACACCGAAAAGAGAGCGCTCGCGCGTGAGAATTCCAGGATTTTGCCGGTTGCGCGCGGTTACGGAACGGAAGCTAAGATGCTTAAATAATTACCATCCCGGTAGGGAACAATTCAGTAGGGGTGAGAATTTAGTCGCGATCGGTTCGCGGTAAATTCGAGCGTAACAAGGCTTCGGAATTCGTTGGTTAGTTTTGGGCTTGGCGAGGTGAAACATAACGGACCGTGTGATTATTTAGGACCCAGAAGTGATTGAATAGAAGAACAATAGTGAACGGACACTTGCCACGAACAGCATCAACTTGTTAGCACTAATCGATTTGCCGAACTTTTGTGTGTAGCGTATTCTCAAGGAAGTACGGCTAACTTACGAAGATTTTGATTCACAGCTTATCAGAAATGTGTGACATCGGTAGCAGGGAGTTGTAAATTATTCAAGTATCGCTTTCCAAGGCACAAAACCAAATCAATTTCGATAACGGCGTCAACAACAACGGCAGCAGCTAAGACAGAAGAATACATAGTGTTATCTGAGAGAAGGGATTTGAGCCCTCGACAACTCGGTTCATCATTTGGTTGACTTATTTTGAGTTACCCTTTCAAACTGTTTGGAGCAGATCTATACACTCGATACATTTCGTTCGGATTGTTCCATTCGGGAATGGAAGTAGTTGCTGGCGCTAGGATTGGATTCCCGTATCTACTGAAGGTCAACGCTGCCCTGCTGGGTACCTCGGAGTACGAACGAGACTTCAATTATTTCAACGGCCGGCCGGTGGCAGTGGACACGCTGGAGCAAGTTAGCCCGGAAGAAGCGAACGCATAAACGTGCATCCAATGAGAAACACAGTAGAAGCCACAGTGCCCTAGACGAATCCAGCTAGTATAGAAGGTTTCGCTTGTATAAGCTGATCTAACCTCCTGCCAAAAGTCAAACCCAAGCGATCGTATTGAGTCACAATCACCAACGCCAAATTCCGCCTGTTCGCGTCAATCTCTCCGATCAAGTCCGGACAGATTGGACCGGGAAAAATCGTAGATCAAGGAGTACGAAGAAAAACACGGTACAGATCTCCATAGCTAGTGCCAGAACAGTAGGACCAATTAGTAGTCAACGAAGAAGACAAACAGGTTTACAATGAATCCGAAGCTCAAGCTCACGGTCGACCAGGAACAACCGCCGACATTGGTGGCTGATCCGACGGATCTTCTCTACAGCATAGATCTCAACGATGCCCGAAATGAAAGCATCAACAACAGTAGCGACAAGAACAACACTAATATTAGCAACGACAGCTCTTTCGGTGCTAATAGTTTTAAACCTGACGACCTGAAAATTGATGTCCGAGGAGTGCCGGAGTACTACCGAACCGATGACGATAGTTATAGACCGTACACTATCTACGGGACCCAACACGGTGAGTTTGCTATGTTTTGCACATTCTTCCTATATGTTTATTATATTTATTTAATTTTTGCTCGAAAATGAATTTTTTTTTCTGCACCACAATGCTTGCAATGTCCACTTGATGTCATTATAAATCGCAGTAGAATGTCGCATCTATCACTCTAGCAGCACGACAAACATGAACACTTACATGCCACACTTATCACTGAATCACGCAGTTAATAAACTTCCGGTTTGCTTATGACGGATTGCATCCAAGTGATGAAACTAATCACTGAACATTATTCCAAGCGATAGATTTATTTCCGGTCATGGAAATCATCAAGATGGGGGTGAGCGAGTAATTTGACAACTTGCATGACACTCTCCGCACAACCACCGCCGGCTGGTTGAAAAGCTAGGTAGTCACGGTTCACTATCGCCCCCGGCGTGAGATCGTATAATTTGAGGAAAACAACAATAACAAAAATATGTCACATTGTGTTGTTCCGCGGGCGGCGGATCGTGGGAAAGGTAGTGACTTGAAGGTGCCCTGTGCATGAATTACATCTTCTTTAACACGATTCGGGTGAATTAGCGACGGAAAATTTTGGTTATCGAGTGCGATTTTCATTTCCTCGTCAGAAAAGAATGAATCCTAGGAAATGAATCCACCAAGCTAAATCAAATATTGGCGTCGACAAAGGACGTGTGAAAGTTGTGTACTTTTCTTTATACCATATCGAACCGGAGTGCAAGTGATTCCCTATAGACACTTATCACGCACACACAAAGCGCTGAAGTCACAGTACCCCTCCATACTGGACAGACGGTGGTTGTCATAATTGATAATAAATGTGGATAATGACACTTGAAGATAGCAGATAGCAGGTGATGGCGAGCACGCATTTTCTTTCATAACTTTGCAATATAACCTTATTATTTGCCGGGTTGAAGGTCGACAAAAAGATAAACAATCAGCCAACAAAACAAGGATCGGGGTAAATATTTTCCTTTTTGCTTTTCTGGAACGCAAAAAAAATAAAGCTTCGTTTAAGGTGCTTCCTCGAAGAATCCAAAAATGGCCGTCGTGATGGCTGATATGCCCTATCGCTGCAAGTTTTCAAGAGCATACATCTCGGACACTGCTGTGTCCTCATGAAATTGGACGTACAGCAAACGTGGAGTTCCAGTTTCAATGTTGTATGATTTGCGGAAGCTGAGATTAGTGCTCATAAAATTTCGAGGTGATAGTGCGATCAATCAGAAATAAGATAAAGCTGTAAATCATCGTGACAGCTGATTTGTTCGCTTCAGACAAATGAGCAAATGGATCCTTCAATGATCAAGTTCAGCTATCATTTATTAGAAATTCGTTTGGAATGCAGAACCTATCTTTTTTTTGGTTGTAAACAACATTGGCGTAAGAAGCGAACTTTCCCCTTTACCGTCAAGGTCCAAACGCAATGAGAGCGACAGCATCAACAGAAAATCACGATCCCGAGAGAAAGAGAGCAAATTCATTCTCGACAAGACACCTTATAGAGCAGTGCCCTAACCTCACTTTTTGGTTCCAATCATTTTGTCTCTGAGTAAAAGAGATGGCAACGAATGGGAGCCAAAACAAACCACCCAAAACTGTCAAAATTTACGGGTGAGAGAAGAGTGCAGCAAATCTTCGGGCACTGATCTTTTTTGGAAAACTGTCAAACTTGCCGGTGGCAGCTGTCAAACAGATTCTGCGCGAAGTTTAACTGATTAGAGTAGAATGTTTTGGCATGTGAAGTTCTAATCATAGCACTGTTTTGAAATTATACGATTTTCTTAACAAACCTCTCCACTCCTTAATAAGCATTATCACGCCAAATAGCAAAAAAAAATGAATTTCAGGCTCGAATATCTCTGATTTGCATGATACTTTGAATTATTGTTAGTTATGGTCAGGCTTGCTTCCACTCACTTGCTATATGTTTTCGGAATTTTGGAATCATTAGAAGGTATAATCATATGTTGTACTTCTTAGATACAAGAACAGATTTAAAGGCAAGTGTTTGACGCATAAATCCTGTCAAATTCGCTTTCAGATAATCACAAACAGCGATTTTACGACTCGCGAGCGCTCACTCATGAATCACTCTGGAAGCGAAATTGACAGGTTAAATGTGTCAAACACATTTGAGCTAAATTTCGGACATTTTTAATCTCGCAAAAAACTCGATAGCGGTGGAACTGCTCTAATGATACAAATATTGCTCGCCAATGGTAAACAAACAGATTAGCTGTCATGCAATCAGTGGATGAACTAAGTGAAAGACTGAAACCTAATTTATCAAGTTTCAGATCGAGTACGCTTATCTGTCAAATTTGTGCCTCATCAAAATGTCCAGAAAAGTCAGATGCCCATCAATACACTTCAGATAGATTGGACAGCTGATTTGACATATGACATTCATTTTAGTAAGCGAATGTCGTTCAAATCAACCGGAGATTATGACAATATTGCTAGACTAACATTTGAAAAGGGCGTAATTCCAAAATGACCATATCGAGAAAATTGCTTCCGAATTTTGATGACCTAAAAATTAATCCTATTCCACGACTTTCCATTTTCTGGATGATTTTATAAGCTTGACATATAGTTAATAGTACAATCTATCATCCTGCATCACTAAAATTAAAAAAAAAAGTTTTCTTTGTCGTGAAATTGAGAAGAAAACATCATAAGCCCTGATAATTTCTTACATGTTGTTACCCCCCGGATCTTCCACCCTTTGAACTGCCAACACTGGTGATACGCCGTGGAAGTACACCCTCGGGATTTTCTGTTTTTTGTTCCGCCTTAGTTCTTCGTTCGCAAATTTTGTGAGAGTGAAATATAAATCGGATGCATTTCAAATGAATCGGGCGTGACTACACGGTTAGAAAAAAAGTACCCAAAATTAAGTTCTTTTCACTCATCTCGGCACTATAGTGCAGGAACCCAAAAGTAGGTAAAGCGGGTCAAAGTAATTTCCATTTACTTGTGTGCAGTTCGTATGGAATATTCCACTGGCTTTTTAACCAAAAATAAGTTAGTTGTACCTAACAGTAGGTAAATATGATTATACTCAACGTTGGGTTCATCTGTTGGGTGGTTTTGCTCCTCCGTTTTTGACAACATTAGAAGGAGAAAAGGAGAAAAACTAGTCAAAAGTAGGTAAAAGTGAACTGGCCGTTCTTTCTTACCTATAGATACTACAGAATCAGTACGTTTGACATATTGAAACAATATAATTCTGCTGCAAGGCGTAACAACCAGATGCATCATAGAGTTGAAAGTTGGAAATACGCCATATAAGAAGAAACGTTTTTGATGATTTGAAGTGATATTTTCTTCTACTTTTTCATGTTTATCGAGCAGTTTGTGAACTGTTCTATATGTGGCAAAATATGGTTTGTTTACATTTTGGCTCTTCCGCCCCTTTCAAATGTTAGTCTAGATTTAAGCTTTTTAATAACTGCAAAATTTGTTTAATGTACAAAACTTACAAGAAGACAGAAAAAATGCAGTCTGTTACTATAAAACCAACTAAGCTAGATAAAACGCAAAAGGCGCAAAGTACCGTCCACGGGCGGTATATATGCGAGACGGCTAATGCGCTAATTGATCACTTTGTAAACAATGACGATCACACAGGAACGCGTGACCGCTGTCGATCGAGCGCGTGTCTTTGGCAAGCGGGCTTCAATGTTGGATGTAAGAGCGGTTTTGTTTGTATCCACAATCAAAAACCATCAATATGCTAAATTTGGATTGTAATTGATCAAATTATCTAGTAGGATCAAAATTTAGGCTGCGAAACCTCGTGCTTAACTCAGTCGCATCTTTTCCGGTCTAGGAATAAAAAGCTCTCAATTAACGACCGTGTAATTGCTTTAAAAGTACGTGAAAGTAGGCAGGATAATTTCCAGTTGGGACGTAAGAGCCCCAGAAAAAGAACTATTGGCGATTAGTGAGGCTAAATTTGCACATTTTTAACGTGAAGCTGATTCCTTGAAGAGTCCAAAAATGGCCGTCATGATTGCTGATATGCTCTATCACTTCAATTTTTTTTTTCAAAACGCATATCTAGAACACTGTTGCGACACTGCAGCAAACGAGGAGTTCCAGTTTCATTGATGTATGTTTTGTGAGAGCTGATATTTGTGCTGTTGAAATTTCGAGGTGATAATGAGATTAACCGAGAATAAGTTTTAAAACAGGATAGAATCAGGGTTGCTGCTTACATCAGCGAGATGCAGAAGAGGATAAAATGCATCACGCTTCCCAAGTGCATTTGTCTTGTCTGTTTCTCACCCTCTTAACAAAACGCAAACTTGACCTCTTCAAGCGAAAATAACCCTGTTTTATTCTATTTGGGGTCTCAAACAACTGTGCAAAATTTGGGGACGATTGGTTGTAACCCGGCTTTTCGTATTGCGTTTGAAATTTGTATGGAAATTAGTATGGGAAAACGAAGATTTTTGAATTTTCATTACTAGACCACACTCAAACCATGCAACTAACAACTGCCGATGAAATTACGGTGCTAGAAAGTATCTAAAAAAAAGTTATACCTATTTAAATTTATATGGTTTGAATTAAATGCCAAAAACCACTTTTTCTGCCAACACTGTCGGTGCACCGGAAGTCAAATTTCAAACTGAAATAATTTCGGAGTTTCTTGTCTTATCGATTTGGTATGTTCAGATGAATTATTCAAAAACAATAGTTCAATCTCATAAGTATAGTTAGAGAAGAGAGGCTACTATATAAAATTGAGTAAATATTTTTGAATAACATACCAACTCGACAAGATGAGAAACACCGAAGTTATTTTAGTTTGAAGGCTAACTTTCATTGATATGAGGGGCGGAAGGGGTAGTTAGACCTCCCCCTGTCAAACTGCGCGTATGAGATGGAACTATTGTTTTGGAATAATTCATCTGGACATACCAAATCATTCAGATAAGAAACTTCGAAATTATTTCATTTGTACACCGGCAGTGTTGGCAGGAAAAGTGATTTTTGACATTTAATTCGAAACATCGATCTATCAACAGCTACAAAGTTGGACAAAGTTGCTATGCGCTTCCTGGCTATACTTTTACATTATTAGTTGCATGGTTTAAGCAAAATCGTGGTCCCTAGGAATGAAAATGCAAAAATGTAGGTTTTCTCATACTAATTTCCATACAAATTTCAAACGCAATGCGAAAAGCCGGGTTACAACCAATCGTCTCCAAATTGTTCACAGTTGTTTGGGACCCCAAATGGATCCAAAAAAATATTGTTTTGAAAAAATGATCATGATGACCCACCCTAATGCCCAGGGCAGTCGAGACAATTTCCAACTCGAAAGATCTCCACGGCTGGACCGGGAATCGAACTGGCCAACTTGGTCATAGCGTGACTTTACCGCCTGAGGCCCCTATGCATTTAATTTGTTTTGCCGAGTCTTGGTATTTTTTCCGAGATTTGCACAGCCGAGTGCTCGTCAATCTATTTTACTGAGATCTCAGCAAAAGTGACGTTTGGTTGCTGAGTCTCGGAAAATGCTTTGCAAAAATCTCAGTGAAATTGATTGCCATACATAGGTATGTAAAAAATTATTTCCGAGCTTTTTGGCGGTGCCGAAATTACCGAGATAAGGCAAACCAAACTTAGTGTGTAGGTTGGCTTTTAGAAAAAAAAGAGGGTAATTCATTTTTAGCGTGCAAACTTCACACATGGTCGATAAGAGAAACTCAAAATTGAGTCGAATTCGACTCAAAATTGCAAACAGTGGGGTTACCCATCGAGTGAGTAAAATTCTCCTTGATTTTCCACATAAGATGAGATACTCTCATCAGCCGTGCAGTCAGAAAGAGTGAACTCCATTCGATATGGGGTACTAAGAGGTGTTGCAGAAAGAAACTTTTTATCTCTTTCAGTCTCACGACAAATTTATATTGCCAGACTTTCACTCCTAACTAACTTAATTCAATGAGCACCTCGTTGAGCACACATTGAGACACTCATGCAATACACGGCAAATGAGAACGACCCAAATTTGAGTTAAGTTCACTAAAAATCTGCCGGAAAATGATACGCACTGAGAGAATCAAATCTTTACTTTTCTCATATTCGGGAAGATTTTTCCTGGACAAACCCGGAGAACTTTGAGATTTGGGCGTAATTGCTTTTGTAAACAAACACGTCAATCGCCGATTTCTCGCGAATAAAAGAACAATCTTACGAACAAACTATACCAAATGATAGAAGAACCATGCCTCTACATGCTAGTGTTGTTAGTTTTTGAGATTGAGCTTTAATTCACAAGAAATTGACAAATGACGTGTTTGTTTACAAAAGCAATTACGCCCTAATCTCGAAGTTCTCCGGAAACATGAGGCAAATTTACTTATCGCTGAGTTCCTGCACTTTATGTGCTTTATGAGTTAACTAAACTTAAATTTGTGTCATTCTCATTCGCCGTGTAGATTTGCGGATGATAGCTGATATAGGTAAATGGACTGTCAAATCCTTTCGAACTGCTCGTTTAGATATTTTTACATCCATTAGACATATCCGCACATCTATTAATGCGCAGATTACGCAGAAATACGACTGTTCAAAATGGGTTGCTTTCCAATGTATGGGATCACTGCATGTGCCCAAGTTTGTCGCGAAAAAAGCGTTTCAAAGGTGAACACTGCAGCTTTAGTAACATGCTGTGATTGTCAGTTGCAGTGCTAACTTTTTCTCTGATTTGACAATAACTCTGTCTTCAATTGAATTGGTTAGATATTGATTGAAATTCGTTAGATATTCGTTTTACAGTTCCCAAGAATCTTTCAGTCGTTTATGAGGTATCGTTACAGGAATACTCACGCGTCACGCAACACGTTTACTGAAACTCAATCACAATCGTTTCTACGAGATGAAAAAGAGCCCGCATTATTTGCACAGTGCCGAGCACATAACTTAAGGGGGTATTCCCGATCTTTTTTTTCAAAAAATCAAATTTTTTTTTTTCACGTTTTTTTGTACTTTAGACTATATACTTTCATCCCCCCAAGCCGTTTTCCGATCAGCGAATTCGGTGTCCAGGCATAGCTGACTAATGGTAAGAACCCCCAAATGGTTTTAACTAAAGTCAAAACTTTAAACGCGTTTTTCTCGAAACCACATTTTTTTTATCGGGCGAAGATTTTTCTCAGAAACTATAAGAGATATTGACTTGAATCTTTGCGCATTTTGTTCCTTATTAAATTCTTTGGAGCTTCTCCCACTTTCAGCCAAAAATATTAACATTTAACATTGTTTGAAGCACCTTAAAGCTGCAAAAAAGCGGGCTAAAAATCGCCTGTTTTTTCATATGGCCGCCATTTTGTTAATTTGCAAGATTTTTTGCTGCCAACGGGAGAAGCTCCAGAGAATCTTATGCAGATTATTAATTCATCACGAGATCTGTTTCAGATGAAGCCGTTCCAGAGAAAAGTCTTCGCCCGTCCAGGCGTTTGCGGCGAACAGGGGTCTGTTTGCCGCCATTTTGTGACGTCAATAATGTCTTTTTTTATGTCGAAAAAAATTTATTTGTAAACTTTAATGTTCAATAAACAAGAATCCCAAAGAGTTAGGCGCATTAGTATTAATTTTCCTTGAAAAAAAATTAATTGAAAAACAGGCCGAAAAAAGGCAAAAGATTGGGAATACCCCCTTAAAGCACACACGAATGCACATCCTGCGATATTCGACAGAAAATTTGATATTGAATGTCGTATCTCGTCAATCAACTAATGGCATGTTTCTGTCATTTTGGCAGATAAACACGGTGCACGTAAGTGCTGTGTGTTGATTTCTTATTCTACTGATTTGGAAATAAAATTGAAATAGCTGTTTGAGTTATTGTAACAAGACCGACTGAGAAATTACGTCCTCTTTTCATTGGAAACAATCCGCATATTTTACGTAGCTTCAACTAGCGACAGAGAACATTATCCGTTACGAAAATAGCACGGCATTTCCAAAAACACCGAGAATAGACGAAACAAGATAATCCTGGAATTTCAAAGCTACGCAATTTCTATGTCGCACTGACATTCTGCATGTTCCAGGAATAGGGTTCCCCAAAGATCGAGATTCGACACAGCCAAAACTAAACCCCCAATTAGTCCAATCGGTGCTCGAAAAGCGCATATGAGCATGCTTTCGATTCAAATAGATGCCATTGGCTGTCAGCTGCAGCTGAACTGGCTCCGCTCCAAAACACTCCAAGTCCGGCACAGACAGAAGTTTATTTTTGTGCAAATCAGCATCTCGGTCTCTCCCGGTAGTGGCACACGTGGCACATCACGCCACAACGCGCTGCTCTTGCTTGTTTGAACTTCGGAAGAGCCAAACATCAAGGGGCAACCCAACCGCTCACGAGCTACTGGGCATCATTAGGAGCACCCAGGCAGTCACTTGCAGGCTAATACCGCGTGGACCATCGACCATGTCGCGACACCCTGATAACGCACCCGCCGCCGGGTGGCTACTCCGATTGTAGGTGTTTGATTTATGAACCGTAATTGTGATCTGATTTGGGATCGAACTCTGAAATCACACAACCTCCAAACCGAACCGGGTTGCCCCTGTTATCGGGAACCGACCGGCTAGAGCTGCAATCAATTCTTTCTTTAATGGGAGAAACTGATATCAAAATGACGCTCTCCACGGCATTCCAAACGATTGAAATAATTGTCAATTGATGTACTGCTGTGGTGCGCTATCTCTGTCACCTTATTTGCGAAAATATAGCGACAATCGATAAGTGAAAACGCCGCCAATTATCCTAGCAACTATGAGCTCTCTCTCTCTCTCTCGGTGTCTTTTTGTCCGTGCTGTACAGGCCCTCATGATGTAATAAATTCTAATTAGCTCTCATCAAAAACCAAACAATCGAAGGAAATTACCGTCGTTTGCGTCAATCCAACTACTTCTTGCTCAAGTGTCGCCTTTGGCAGTGGCGTAGCAAGGGCATTCTAAGCTCTATTTTAAATTCTAGTGAACCGCTCGCTACTTCACCGACCCCTGGAGGTTATATTTGACCGGAGGATGACACTCGCGGAAAACGTGTAATTCGTGAACAAATTGCTCCACCGCATCCTATCCGGAAGAGCCGTCGTCGGTAGCGTGAGAGATCTGCCGGGTTTTAATTACCCTAATTTGGAAGCACCTGTATCAATAGACAGAGGACATCAACAACAAATATTAGCTTCAGACTATGTCGCACGGCACTGGATGTATCCGATAGCTTTAATTAGCCCACAGTATCGTGGCATAACTCTCCGAGTAGAGATCACCAACGCTTCCGCCGCTTAGTGGCTTCAATGTGCATCTGCAGGCAAACAGCAGGTAGTATTTGCATGAAGCTCTCCCGGCACAGGACCACCCCGTGTGCGTGTGCTTAATCAATTACTATTCGGCAGCTGATCGACGACGACCCGATCGACGATGCGCCATGTTAGAAAGGTCGCTCCGGTTCAAGTTCAATGTCAGTGTGTGCTTGTACATAGATCTAAGCTAATTAGAACTGAATCTTTGTGACAAATTCGTGTCCATAAATCACACGCTTCCGTGGGGCAGCCCACGCACGCTCGCTCGCTCGCTCATTCTCCTCTACTATCAGCTGGCTCGTTTGCATGCATGCATTCACACTCTTCTTACAAATCATGCAAATTTCCCCTTTCATATTACTACTGATAATACCTACCTACCTTCTCTAGCCCATCAGTTGTCTAGCGAATGATCCGGCTCTCACTTACCGAACAACTGTGTTTCATTTTCTGTCTGCAGGTGATGGAAACGACAAACTGTCCGTTCTACCAGCTTCAACAACCGGCTCATTAAGCTCAATCATAACGACGTCCGTGGCATCCTCCGAACCGGATCGTGGTGATCATCGTGACGGTGGCGTTGGCGGCGGTGGTGATGACGACGATAACAATATAGTAGCGACGACAGCGGGCGGCAAGGGCACCGGCGGCGTCGGTGGTGATGGACACGGGCCGCCCGTAGGACACGGTGGTGAAATCAAGCAGGAAAAATGGTGGGAAACGACACTGCAGATTTCGATTCCGTTCTTCATCGCCGGTGTCGGCACGATCGGGGCCGGAGTCATCCTGGGACGGGTCGAGGTAAGTCTAGTTCCGAAGTAGATTTAAGGAATCGGGTGGTGGGTAAGGGGTCCGACAAAGCTATGATTTCAGAAACTCCAGATTAAAGTATAACGCGACGGGATTCCTCGAATCCAGACAGTTAAACCACTTTGATGACTTGAACGCCTTTGTTATCGTAATTCTTCTGATTTAACCAAATCCTAACACAACAGATAACTGTACCTACACTGAGTAGATACGCCTTTCGATTGCACTTGAAGATTTCCAATTAAATGCAGACAGTTACCAGGAGGCGAACTGACACATTGCAATTGTAATCGAAGCTAGAATTAATCATCAGCTCATCAACAATTCACCAATTCGTTCGAAACCCCCTAGCAAACTTTCTGATAATATGTTTTCTTCTTACCAACGACAACGAATGATTAGGGGCGCTGCGCCCTCGACGTCGAGATTGCTCTGATTAGCTTCATAACTTCGGTAGGCATTTGCGCGCGAAGGTCCGAAACTAACCAAACCTTCCCAGATTTGATATTTTTTTATGATCCCAGCTTCCCGACTGACAAGTTCCCTCTAATAAACTTTCTACTAACCCTCCGCCTGAATGTGACTGAGTTAGTACTAATCGTTCTAAGCCGAAAACCGCTCCAAAAATGCAATTATACTAACCGTAGCTTTCTACTTCCCCCACCCGCAGCACTGGAAAGTATTTCACCACGTAACGGAATTGTTCATCCTGGTACCGGCGCTGCTCGGCCTCAAGGGCAACCTGGACATGTGCCTGGCATCGCGGCTCTCGACGCAAGCAAACCTCGGCAACATGGTCAGCACCCGGGAGATCATCCACATGATCGTGGGAAATATCGCGCTGGTTCAGGTGCAAGCCACCGTGGCGGCGTTTATCGTGTCTCTCTTTGCCGTGGGTGTCGGGGCGGCCATCAACGGGCGGTTCCTGTTCGATCATGCCATGCTGCTGACCGCGTCGAGCATGTTCACCGCGACGACGTCGTGTTTCGTACTAGGTAAGTGTGACGCGTAGTAGCGGGTGCATCGCAGGTTGACATCAGACGTTACTAAGAAAGAGCGGGGTTATCGCGCAGTCTGTGTTTGAGGTGTGAAATGCTCGGTAAACACTCATCTAGTCGGGTTGTGATGAAGTGTGCTGTAAAGTTTTACGATGCCGTGACCGGAGACAGGGGTTTACCGACTTTGATTCTTGAGGTGATATATGGCGGATTTTCGGAGAGTTTACCTGGAAATACAGATTGTTGCAAGCCGGAACAGTTCACAGTGGTTTGAACCGTCGAACTTTTGAGAACTTTTGTTTTCAATGGATGGAACTGGAATTGATAGGACGGTTTTGTTTAATACATCCATGTGGCGAAGTTTTGAAAATTAGTAGGTCACTGACAACTTGCTCGTGACGCACTCAAGTATTCTGAGGATGTTTGGAACCAACTTGAAAGATTTCCATCCTAGGCGAGTATTTGTCTTCACCTTGACCCGGGCCAAGGTAGACTGATTTGATATCATTTTTAAGAATCCCTTTGTCTGCCTCTGCTGCAATATCCTAACGAAATTCAATCCAACGATTTCAAGCAGATTCCGTTTCCACTCCCTTTGTAGTGGGTAGTCGACCAACCAGCACTTACGTTCTTGAATTACCGTTGACCTGGAGCTTTTGATATGCTTACTGATCTCAAATATCAAAATTAAAATATTTTGTAAACTCGCAGTGACTCCAAATGCACGAACTAGCAGTGAGCCCAAATACTCGTCGACCACCTCGATTTCGTCACCGTCAATCTGAGCTCGGGGTGGGAGGCTAACATTGTCTTCCCTAGAACCTCTTCCTCTCATGTATTTCGTCTTCGATACGTTGATGACAAGTCTAATCTGCCTAGCTTCAGCCTTCAGTCTGATGTACGTTTCCGCCATCGTCGTAAAGTTCCGTGCCATGATGTCGATGTCATCGGCGAAGCCAAGAAGCTGGATGGAATTCCTGAAGATCGTGCCACGCGTGTCTATCCCATCACTCGATCCATCGTCGCCTTAAACAATCGCGTCAGTTGATCCGGAAATCCGTACTCGTGCATAATCTGCCATAGCTGATCTCGATCGATTGTGTCGTATGCGGATTTCAAATCGATCAACAAATGATGTGTGGGCACGTTGTATTCGCGGAATTTCTGCAGAACCTGCCGATTCGCGAGAATTTGGTCCGTGGTAACGCGGGCACACATGAATCTCACCTGTTATTGCCTCACGAACTCTCTTGCAAATGGTGACAGGCGGCGGCATAGAATTTGCAAGAGTACCTTGTAGGCGGCGTTCAGCAGTGTGATCGCGCGGTAGTTGAAGCATACGACACCTTCCATTCACTTCTCCGGTAATAGCTCCTCCTCCCAAATTTTAGCAATTACCCAGTGCAGAGCTCTAGCCAGTGCTTCACCACCGTATTTTAATAGCTCACCGGCTGCTTTGTTGTTCTTCAGTCGACCGATCTCCTCCTCCGTGCCACCTTCGTTTTCTGCTGCATCACCGTTGAGATGCTCGTCATAGTAGTGCTTCCACCTCTGAATCACCTCACACTCGTTCGTAAGAAGGTTACCGTCCAAGTCCTTGCACATATCTGCTTGCGGCACGTAGCCTTTGCACGAACTATTTAGCTTCTTGTAAAACTTCAGTATGTCGTTTACGCGGTGCAGATTTTCCATCGCCTCGCGATCTCGGTCTTCCTGCTGACGCTTCTTCATGCGAAAAACCGAGTATTGTCTGTTCCGCGCTTGTCTGTATCGCTTCACACGTGTGTCACCCCACTCTTGGCCAACGTAACCGTTAACTTACACATCCGTTCACCATCCGCATGAGTGTAGACAAACGGAGCGAAACTGGAACGCCCGGAGACCAGTCTCCGTTAGCTCCGTCCCCAGCCCGTATGGGGCTTTTCGTAGTCGACAAATCATTCGTGGAGCGTCAGATTCCCTTGTAGGAACGTCGTATTTGGGAAGACGTTCCAGCAGCCAACGCCATCAGGTAGTGGCTAGTGTTCATAAACCACACTAAACAATAAAGACAATGTAGAGGGGGATTGACGAGTGCCCACGGTCCAACAAAAAAAATGTATGGACGCGGGGGGAGGAAGGTCTAAAACCACTTAAAAACGGTCTACGTAGTTTATGAACAATGCAATATCGTGCCACCGATGAGTATGTTTGGTTGTAATTCACACCTGTAACGGTTTACGGTCCCATCGCAGTTGACCTTAAGCTTATAAATCCATATGCATTCCAGCGCTCATCGTCCTGATGGTAGAGTTCGCTGCTTAACTACCACGTGTTGTTCAACTAAATCGCTTCGGACTCCCACCCGATTGGCATCACGCCACAGCTCACGATCGTCATGTTGCATAGCCTCACAGTAGGGCTCGGGTTCACAGAAACTACCATGGGTTCACAGAAACTACTCTGGGTTCTTCGTCATGGTCAGAATCTTGAAGAAGAACGCGATCGTCGGAAGTAACCAGTTCTTCTAATTGCAGCTGCATCGTCACTTGCTCACCTTCTGGAACCATGTGGATTGAAGACTCGATATCGTTTCGACTGCTCACCATAACCAACGAAAACACCAGCTTCAGCCTTCGAATCCCACCACTTTTTACGCTACACCTTCAGAATATGACACCCCAACTAACATTGCAGGTTTTATCGCTGTTTTATAGCATTCTACAAGTCTAAATCATGGTCTACAGAACCCTCATAAAACTAAAATTGTTACTTGGGACATCACCTGCGAACCGAATACTCACAGCTTCGCCAGGTCCGCTGAATCCAAAAGGTAAATACGGAAGCCTTGACGACCTAACCCCAGAGGCCTTATGAGGCAAGTCAAGAGGCGTTATGAGACAACTAACAGAACAAAGCCAGAAGCATTCTACGCCAAATTCAAACAAGTTCTTGGAAAACAAGTTCTGATGCTCTTCGGAACAACCTCAAGACATTCGAAGACCATCTAGGACAAGTAAAAAACATCGGATGGTTGAGTGGAAAACGTGACTGCTTTCTCACCGCAGTGTGTCTCTGGGTTCAGTTCCAGCCCAGGTCGTTGGGATTTTTCTAAGGTGAAAAAATCTCTGGTCACGTCTTGTTATGATGGGGTTATCCTCCTTCACATAAAAAGCGAACACAATGGGATCACATCATTACGCATTTTATTGCCGCCTTTTAACAGTTCCTTCACTCTCTATCGCTAATTCCTCTCCTGATTTGTGCTTTCTCTGAACATCCTAATCACATCTACACTCCAATCACCATGCGATCCGTCCGCGAAATAGCCTCGTTGTGCCGTCAAGGCACCTTCTAAATATCCCGCAGTTCCTTCCGTTGGTCATCCTGGCTACATCTCTCAGCGGGTTTCACTATTGACTTCATCCAGCGAGTCAATCGGGACGATCCGTCATGTGACCAGGTCAATCAACATGACCAATAGTTCTGATCATCACGATGTGCCATCACAACTCATGAACCGGGGACCAACGCCTTAGAACATCCCGGTGGCGCCGACTGGGATTGAACCCAGGCCTGCTGGGGTGAGAGATAATCACGCTTACCACTACACCACCGGCGCCGCTAAATGATGATTGATGTTGTTGTTTTTGTTTACTCCCTCTTTCTGTCAACGCTTTGATAAGGCGACTTCAGCCGATAAGAGATGTGAGGTGAAAGTGGCAGCAGCGAAGGTATGGAAAACGGCCCATGTGTTGATTGTTTCAATATCTAGGGTCCACGGGTTGAATTGCGTCCCTGGCGTCTGTGATTGACACTCGCTTGAGTAAAATAAACAAGAATTAAAACACGCCCAAATGGGTTTAACCTCTCACGCCAAAGTCACGAGTTCAAATCTCAGTTCCCTCACGTCAATCGCTTACTCCTTCGATAATCTCTCGTTGCTTTCCTGCTAGATTCCAGTGACTTCGTGGGGCCTTTAACACCATCTTGTCGTATGTTGGAGGTGACGATCTTGGGAAGCCGACCGGCGGTTTCAAGGATTCTTCCGACCGATTGTTCATTTTAGACGTTGGTCTTCCCAAAACGATGGATCGGAATTCGTCCGAAAAGAAGATGTGGCCGGGCTCTTTCTACGTCTAATTACACTGTTGGATGAAACATTCGCCGCTGAACAAAACTTCGGCGTCCTGTGAGCGAATATGAACGCACATAAGATAAGACAAATATTGCAGCTATCACCGGCTGGTTTGACAAGATACCTGTGTCCCTTTGTTTTGCACTCTCACGAAATATATTAACTTTTCTAGGTGGTTAGGTGGTTAACTTAGTGATTTTGACTATTGTTTTGTTCACTCGAGCAAAATGGTTCTTTGTCTTCAGGATCCTTTTTGTCGTTTGCTTCCGTTCGCTTTTATTCGCCACCTAAATGTCCACCTCCAAATGGCGTTTCGGTGTCATCTGGTGGTCGGCTTTGTAGATCGGTTGGTTGCAGTGATGGTGGGCTCCATACAACTAAGGTGACTAGCTCCTTTACCGAGAGTTGAAAGCAAACTACACAAATACTTTCCTGAATTTAATTTATCAAACTTTACAACGAACACTAAACTAACCGCAACACAATTTCGACAAGCTACAGAGGGGGTACTACGAACTGGTATAAACTCTTAAATAAACAACAACAATCATTCAATCACGAACGCCTGAATCGCTGCAAAATCGTCAAGGTTATAAAAACCCATAATTCGCGTTAAAATTAAATCTCAAAGTAGCACAACTAATGGCCAAATAACGCCAAAATCGTCCTGAAAATGCTATCATGACTTCAACAACGTCCGACCTTTTCTTGGAATTCCGTGATGAAAATAAAATCCCAACTATTCCCCGGTTTTCCCGGATAGACCTTCTACCCTCCATTGGGCACACATTTCCACGTTCAATTCCATACATTAATTTGACTAACATCGATTATTTTCCTCTTGCTTCCAGACTTTGTATTAGTGGCTGTGATTTTAATGACTAATAAGTTGAAATTGAATCCGGATAATCTGGCAACACCGTTGGCAGCTTCGATCGGTGATGTGGTATCTCTTAGTTTACTATCCTTCATAGCGTCGCTGCTATTTGAACATATAGGTAAGCTCGGACGAGTTCCATAATTCACATTCAGCAACAACTAATCGTGATTCCTTCGCTTTTTTAGAGACTCACCTCTGGATAACGTTCGTCATAGTTGCCGGTTATTTTATTCTGTTACCATTTTGGGTATTTTTAGTATATAGAAACAAGTACACGCGGTCCGTATTGAAATCTGGATGGGTTCCTGTGCTATCGGCACTCTTCATTAGTGGGTGAGTACCATCCGTGCCTAAGCACTCTCATAGCTTAATGAATCATGTATATTTATTGACGATCCTATTCCTCTTTTCAGACTGGGTGGCCTAGTGTTGGATACAGCCGTCGGAGTCTTCAACGGTTTCGTCGTGTTCCAGCCCATCATCAACGGCATCGGTGGTAACCTAGTATCCGTTCAGGCGAGCAAAATCTCCACCATGCTCCATCAGAGCTCGATCATTGGCATCATTCCGCCGCATACCAAGATCTTCGAACCACCGTGGAAGGCACTGTTCAAAGGAGGTGAGTACCGAGCGCCCCAAGGGTTGTTTAAAAAGACGGTTCCACGACAATAACATTTATTTCCATTACAGTTCCTTACGCCAAAACTGCTAGAATTCTGATCCTAATGTCAATTCCCGGACAAGTGCTGTTCATCTTCGTAGCTGACTACATTCACATGTCCGAATCAACTATTGGTGCTCCGTTTGTGTTGTCATATCTGTTAGTCAGTTTGATACAGGTATGTGCCAAACCTCCATCTTAACCGGCGAAGATCGTTGACGTTGCCTTTACCTTTATTTTAGGTTATGTTGCTTCTGTACATCGCTCACATCATCATCCACGCCATGTGGAAGTGGAAGATCGATCCGGATAACTCGGCCATCCCGTACTTGACGGCGTTTGGCGATCTGTTTGGTTCAAGCTTGCTAGCGCTGGCGTTCCTGTTCCTGAGAGGTATTGGGCACCCGTACGGCGAGAATGTGGACGAAATTGGTTCCACCATCACCACTACCATGTCCTTCAATCCGGTGGATGTCGATTTGAGCAAGAATTTTGGTATTTATTAGTTTTTCCCTCCAATCCTTCCTTTAAATTTTAGCATCCCCAGGCAGTGAGAATCTGAAACCCTTAGAAGCAAGCAATTAATGTGTGTGATTGTGTGAACGTAGAATGTGTGAAATGTGCATCCCCTAGCGATTTCTGTTGTCCCTGAAATCTTTGACCCCGTTCGCCCCCCCGGTAAAAGTTGTATATTTATGCTTACTTGAATAAGAACAGTATTGAAAACTCTTACTTTTATACGTAAGTTTAGCTTTTTATTTAATTTTAACCTAATATAAAACACAAACACAAACAAAGCTGAGTCACAGGAAACGATATTAAATTTACCTTAGCGTGCAGAGCGCATCATCGAGTCAGCCCCAGGGACGGCCATATTGTTTGCATCCGAGCCTCATTCCCTTATCCCCCGAAATCCATCTTCATAGTAGCTGAGTGCCTCCAGGCGCTCAAATTACCTAATTTAGATTGTGTTGTTTACTATTTATAATTTAGCAAATTAGTTAGGTTCAAAAGGCTCTCTCGTTAATTCGCAAATAAAGAAATAAAAAAAAAAGATTTGGTTGTTTGTAAAACATTAATAATCATAGTTCATTTGGTATTGAAAATTCCTGTTTTTGTTGAAGTCAAAAACAATGTTGCTCATAATTGCAAAAACAAAAACTACAATAACAAACATTTCTAGCGTTCAGAATCATAAGGACCTACTGCTACAGCTAAATGAACCAATTTCCCGGAATTGTTCCAGTACAGTGTACGCTGTTAGGCTCTTATGATTCTGAATGCTAGATTTACACTAACACGGAAGAAATGTGATTGATTTGAAATAATTAATAAGTTCAAATGATTAAACCAATTTTGATTGGTCAGGTATACAGTAAGCCAATTGTAAATAAACAGATTCACTACTTAATTCAAGGTACTAGGCGAAGTAAAACAAAGTAAGCATAAGTTCGAAAACTTATATTGATTGAACTGCAAAAAATAACAAGTGAACTTCTTTGAAACGAACCATTTGGAAGTGGAAGAAAAGAAAACGCAAGGTTATACCGAATGCAGACGCAAACCAAGCTGCTAGTATGTCAGTAAGGCTATTTACGAGCGGTTGTAAATAACTAGACAATTGTTTCTTAATTTTACTAAGAGAACAAACCACCTACACAGTAAACGAATAAAGTTCAATTATAATTGTCAACCATACGCCTTGCGTTATCGTTTCTGGTTTGTTTTAGTGTGTTTTCCTCCCCTGTCCCCGTGTCTTATCAATCAGTTCACGTTCTCACTTGAGTTCTATTTCTTTTCCACAGCTCCACAATTGGCATGAGTTCTTCCGTTCCGTCTGCAATCTCTTTCTTTTGCTCTCTATACAATTTCTTTGGTTTACCATTTTTCCTTGCTATCTACGCACACACCGGCACATGGAGAAAACAAAAATTTCTATTTTACTTACCCGCGCCAGAAACGATGTCTGAAAAAGAAAACAATAGAAAATTATGTTCCGTTCTCTGTAATGAATTTTAAATTGTGTTCACAACCGAAAGTAAAAGGCTTTAATTGTTAGGTAAATGGAACATGGTCATACATACACACACGTACGCGCATGCGCATGTGGATCAATCGAAAATTGTCATATTTTCCACTGCAGTAGAAGACAAACAATACTTTTATTGCTCTAGTCCGCTGAATCTTACACGATTTTAATAAAATTATTTATAAAAAAAAACAATTGACAGTATTTAAAAAAAAATTAAAAATCATCAGTCTGTAATCGGCAGTTCTCACTAAAGAATATAAAAAGAAAATCAAAATCAGATACTATGACTATATAAACCAACGATGCCATAACGATTTTTGTACAAGGGGAAAAGTTGGGACCCCCTTGCTTATTTTTAAACCGTAAGGAGCAAATTTGTAAGCTCAAAAAATAGTTCCAAAAGCCTTATACGCTAGCTTGAAAGTACCCACTAATGGGTAAAAAAAGACCCATTTTGAAGAAAAGTGGCTTACTCATTTAATGAGTAAAGTTTTTACCCATTAATTAGTATCGGTTACCCATTAATGAGTTACAGTTACTCATTAATGGGTAACAGATACTCATTAATGGGTAACAGATACTCATTAATGGGTTAAAAAATTACTCATTTAGCTAAGCCACTTTCCTTCAAAGTGGGTACATTCAAGTTTACGTGTACGGTATCAAAATAAACAAGGGGGTCTCAACTTTTTTCGTGCACACAAATCGACATTTGTGGCACGTAAAAATTGAAAAAAATCATAGCTGTCCAATCGTCGCCAAGGGGCTCCTCAATGTCATTAAAGTTAAATAGTAAAGAAACCAAGCCGATAAGAACAAAAAAAAGTATAGCAAAATGCTTTTTCACATTTTAGAAAGAGATTCGTAGTGCCTCAAAATGCTTTCGTTCATCATGTTGGAAACGATTACAGAGAGAGAGAGAGAAAAAAAAACACACATACACCCACACACATCACACATCATTGCCTTCTTCCTTAGAATGAAACATTGGACAGCAGCAATCGTTTTCCCTCCTTCCTCAATTCATTGAAGCAGCTCCCCAAATTTATGTTCTTCTCCCTCAAGTAGCGCAAACAGTCATTGAAAAGGTAATTCATATATGTGACAATAAGCGATTGGAAGATTGATTCAGTTGAAAATTAAAAGAGACAAAGACCCGAAATGGAAAATGCTGCTAAATAAAGAAAATAAAAACTATCGGAAAAAGAATGTGATAATAATTAAAAAAAGATACCCGAATGTAAGAAGAATAGATGCAAGAAGTGAAACAATAAAATCCTAGCTATAAATGAGAACAGATGAATGAAGCAAAACCGTTGATATCAGGTATGAGAGAAATGAAAGAAACAAATTGAATTGATATTTTCAGGGCAGATTTAGTGGCGAATGACTATTTTTGACTGAGAGGAAAAATGTAGCCAAACCGTAATGAATAAAAATCTGGCCACACCGCAATCGGATGGATACAGAGAGAGAGTAAGAGTAGCATGAAAAGCAACGGCAAAGAAGAAGTTACGGAAATATTGCAATAAACAGAACAGAAGTATTTAATCTAACAACAAAACAACAACAGTTTTAACTGAAAGAAACCTAATACCCATAAACAAATAATGTAATACAGTTGTTCAACTATCCAAATGTGAATGAAAAAAGAAACATTAAAACATGGTTAACGAAACAGATCCCCGATCATAAAGTATTAGAGGCAATCCTGCATTAGAAAGCAAAAGAAGAGAAACATAATTTCACAACTACTTAAGATCCGATGGCTAAATAAATGGCAAATACACTATAGAACCATTTGCAGGAGCAAAAACAACTAAACATAAATGTTATGATGAACATGAAAATAAACTTGTTGCATTTGAGAACATCAACATGGATGAAGCGCGTTTCATTTACGATTATTGTTCCTAGATGACAACCTTTATCAGGGAGCTAGATCCGAACCCGTACCTTGTTTATACTCTAGGATTTCTAGGAGGCTTGCAATAAAGACTGTACTTGAAAAAGATGCAACAGGCAACAATGATCACTAAAAATTCATTTTCAGTCAGATATTGTTGAAACTCTCTGGGAATAAATAAACACACATTAGCTATGTTTTTGCACAGTTGGTTTACTCAACCTCCTCTCCTAGGCTAAATCCCCACACCTTGGACTTAACGCTACCAATGCAACACTTGCACCATCTTTCTTACACACTTTCATCCACTCTTTCGTCAAATCCTTGTCGTTTTGAAGACTTTTTCTTCCGGAGCTTGCCCTTCATAATCGCCCAGAATTTTTCTATTGGTCGAAGTTCTGGCGATTTTGGCTGATTTGCCTCCTTCAGCACAAAACCATCATCGTTGGCTTCGTACCACTCCATCACCGGTTTCGCGTAATGGCACAATGTCAGATCCGGCCAAAACAGAGTGTCACCTTCGTGGGACCGGAGGAAAGACAGCAGGCGCTTCTGGAGACATTCTTCTTTACATATTTGGCCTTTGATGGTGCCGGTCGTGATGTACGGCTTGCTGAATTTTCCGCAACCACAGATCGCCTGCCACACTAAGTACTTCTTGGCGAATTTGTCGACCTTTTTCTTCCGGAACTTCTCCGGCGTCCACTTTAATGTACGTCTCGTCGTCCATTACGATGCATTCCGGCTACACCAACCACTCGCGGTACAGCTCCCTCATAGAGGTAACTCTAAGACCAGAAGGTCCTGAAGTAACGTTTTCAACTTTTTAGCTCAGCTCTGGTACTCTCTTCGGTCCCTAGCTAATCGATGCACCCCTCGAAACATTGAAAAATCCACGAACCCCTCATTTTATCAGTTAAACTTTCATAGCGAAACAAAACAAACATAGTGTAGTACTAGAATTTCGACTAGAATGGGGTATGTTAATCGATTTTCTTGGGACCAATAGGCTAGCCAAGTAGTGAGCCAATTTAAAATCGTTAGTTTCCACCGGTTGGCTTCCTGGCGCGGGATTTGACCACCGTATCTGTTTATCGGTTTGGTTAGGAACCTTCTTTACCTTGAAGACATGAAGTCCGGCCCGCTTCATTGTCTGCTGGACGAACCAGACGGAAGAATTGACCGAATTGAAAGGTTCGCATTGCGCTTGCAGTAATCCCTCACCTTCCTTGCGTTCACGGGGTCGATCGTCTTCGCTTTTCTTCGCTCGCCGCTGGGTCGTCTGGGTCTCCTTGAACGATTTTACCACACGGGACACGGTCGAATTGTCGATTCCTAACTGTTTCGCGATCCACATGTAGGACTGGCCTGGATTTTCTACGACCGCTCCCATATTTTGCTGTCGAAGCACTTCGTGCTTGGAAGCCATCTCGATAACCACTCGACATATTGTGACGAGATTTCGCACATGTAAACATTACACTCTAAACAAGTTTTACTCAAAATGTCATCAATTTTTAACAATGCAATAAAAAGTTACACACACAAGAGTGCAATCAACCGGTGGAAACTGACGACTTTAAATTGGCTCACTGCTTGACTAGCCTATTGGTCTCAAGTAAATAGATTAACGTACCCCATTCTAGTCAAAATTCTAGTACTAAAATATGTTTGTTTCGATTCGCTATGAAAATTTGACAGATAAATTGAGGGGTTCATGGATTTTCCTATGTTTCGAGGGGTGCATCGATTAGCTTGGGACCGAAGAGAGTACTAGAACTGAGCCAAAAAGTTGAGCACGTTTTTCCGAGACCTTCTGGTCTTAGAGTTACCTCTATGGTACAATCTTTATACAAATGCATGCATTGGTTGGCATAGAAAACTCTCAATAATTAACTGTGGAAGTGCACTCTGGGCAAAAATTGACAAAACCGCGACTAAATTGAATAACTCGGCTCAACATGTTATACATATTCTCAAAGGAAAAATTCTGCTGAATCGATTGGTGGTAGTCTCATTGGCCGGAGGCTTTTGCGTATCGAGATAGAGGGCCAGGATCAACCCGAATTCCCGGTAAAGTAGGAAATGCCACTATCTATCGACATAATTTTACACTTTACTTAACGTATATTACTGGAAATTGATAGTACTAAGTATATGTGGTGTAAAGACACCAAATACGCCCTCAGGTAAACTCTACTGGCCTAAAGGAGGATCCGGAACGACCGATAAAGTGGCCAGATTATAAAAAATTACCATATCCTGGTCCTCCGAATAATCCGGGTAGACCGATAAATTGATAATCTAAACTGTTCAACATTTGTATACCGCACAAGTTGGGGAAAATTTTCAATTTAGGTATTGTGATACGTGTAAAATTGAAAGGCTTATTTAGGCCCATCCGGGCCACTAATAAGCGCCAAATTGCTGATCAGTCTCAAATTTTGCATCATATTCCTACTGTCATTCAAAATATCGGCAAATATGTCAGGCTCTGAAAGCAAACGGCGGGCAAGGTTGCCGTTATTGGAACTACCACTTCCTCCTGGTT